GGGGTTGAATAGATCCCTTTGAAAATTTTGTGCTTTTTATAAAATTGTTTTTATCAGAGACCGAAAGCCCTAAATCTGATCTCTAAACTTTACGTATTGGAAAGATCGGATATGCAAACCAATTTGATAAAAATGATGAGAATAGAATCACAACTAAAATTGAATATGATTAATCACTTTAGTAAGTTTTAACAAGGTGTAAGTTATTACCAATTAGTTGCAGAGAAGATAAAGCAAATTTGTGAGTTGTAAATTCACCAAACACTTGGTGTACGTACTACACAAGGTTTGGTTATACTCAAATTGTAGTGGTTATAGCAATTTAAATGAATGCTATATGAGGAGTAAAGTTTTAGTTTGTCACTACAATTATTTTGTATGAACGAAGGAATTGGTAACTCACAAATTGAAGCAGATAGAAATAAAATGCAGAAAACTATAATGGACACCTTATTTGTTAAGGCAGTTCACCCTGTCGTCCTCGCGTGGGCTACTCTGCCCCCAATTCTAGAATCTAGAATTAGGATATGAAATTAATTTTGCAAAGTTTGTAAGAGAAGATACAATCACCACAATTCAAAGTCACTTGATGAATCTTATATGTTGCACTCCTCTTCCCTTGATTCTAGATGAATCAAGTATGCCAAATCTTGAACAAAAACTTCTTCTACCTTGAATGATTTTGTACCCAAGAAATTGGCCCCAAATACTACTTCACAATCCTCCGGTTACCGCTACCCGATTGAATACCCCAAGGTCTTCCAATCTTTTAGCTCGGCTGAATTCAATGAAGCAAAGATTTGTGATAAAAACCCCAATTTTGGAGGACAAAACCCCAATGGTTTTATTCAAGAAAAAACCCACAAAGATCTCTACCCAAATCTGAAATTACACTTTCAATTTGGACGTTATCAACACAAACCCAAAAACTTGATCAACAAAAATGTTTGTGTGTAATTGTTGATGGTTGATGAGAGGTTGAAGATGAAGAGAGCTCTTGTGTCTATCTTTCACTTTTTCTTGTTGACTTCCAAAATAGAGGCCAAACAGTATATATATATATATATATATATATATATATATATATATATATATATATATATATATATATATATATATATATATATATATATATATATATATATATATATATATATATATATATATATATATATATATATGATTCCTATGATATAACAACATAGTAGAAAAATGAGACAATATAGCGATGCATCGGCTCATGCAGGGCATACAGAAAGCGCGTGTCTTCCCGAGCGAGAGGTTGAAATTCCCTCAGTTATGCGTCGACTCATTGCTTGATGCGCCAACTCATGTTTTCCCAGAACTATGCATCAACGCATAGAGAAGGCGTGCGCCTTCCCGAGCGAGAGAGGTTGAAATTCCTTCAGTCATGCGCCGACTCATTCCCTTATGCGCCGACTCATGTTCTCCCAGAACCATGCATTGATGCATAGAGAAGGCGTGCACCTTCCCAGACGTTTCCAAGCCAAAAATCTTCTTCTCATGAGCCGGCCTAAGGTTCCATGAGCCAGCTCATGCAGTCTATTTTGAGATAAATGCTTGTTTTTGATGTTTCTCACTTGCACCTGTTTGAAGCATGACATATTTGCACAGATAGGTTTTTGACAATCATTAAAAAACTCAGTTCTTTCACTTTTGCATACTTTTGCCCTCACACACCTTTGGTCTTCGCTACAATCAGATCACCTACAAATGACTTTTGGGCACCAATAGGTTCGTTAGAATTACAATACTTTCTCTGAAGATTTATTATGTCATCCATTACATCCGCATGAACACCATTCTTTTTTATGCTTCTTTGCAAAAATTTGTAAAAACAGAACAATATGCCCCAAAACGAGCCTCATCAATCAGATTCAAATCTACTTCCCCATTATAGTTCATGTTCGGACACCCAGTTTTGGCATTCTTTGTCTAACACGACAATACCAAACTACTAGGAATGTGATCCATATGCTCTTCCTTCATGACATAAAAAATGTGTGAACATGGTAATCCACGTGAATCAAATAATTTACACGAACACCGTAATGTTTTATTTAATGCATCATATACAACTTCTCTTTCAAACCCAGCCTCACAATATTTTGTCAATGTAAAAACAATTGTTTCCCCTTCTGATAATCGCTCCTTCATAATTAATGCACCAACCTTCATAATTTCTTCTTTCACTTCTTTAAAAATATTTGTTGTATAAGTTTTAGCTGTATCGGTCCCAATTAGACGCAAATGAGTTATCAACATAGGATCCGAACAGTTTGATTTAAAATCAGCAACAAATTCATTATTTCTATAATCTCCCAATGCCTTATAAAAATTATGCATAAATTTAAAAATGCACCTTTTTTCCTTACATAAGACTTGCTTATTGCATTAACAGCTTCACATTGAGACGCAGTTCTTATACGACCAAAAAACTTATCGCGTAGATAAACATTTGCCCAAAATGACTTGTTCTCATATGTTTTGGAAACCCAAGCATTTTGTTCAAGATCATTCTCCTTAACCATCTGGGACCAAAATTCTTCAAATTGCTCAGGTGTAAAATTAGTGTACATTTCTTTTTTAAAACCTTCCAAAAACTGTGACTTCTTTACATTTTCACTTGTATTCTTGCTCAAATGCCAAGCACACAACCGATGGGTCGCATCAGGAAAATATATTTTATAGACTCCTTCATAGCCCTATCTTCATCTGTTACCACTACTTTTGGATGTTTGTTTTCCATGCACTCTAAGAAACACCTCAAGAGCCACTTATATGTCTCTGTCGTTTCATCTGACACCAATGGAGCACCAAATATAACAGTCTATGAGTGGTGGTTGCAACCACAAAATATAACCAACGGATTATTGTATTTCTTCTTCTGGTAAGTTGTGTCAAATGCAACAACATCGCCAAAAAATAAATAGTTTGATCTACTAGTGTCGTCTTCCTAAAAAAGCGACTTCAATCTTCCATCACTATTTATAGAATATTCCATAAATAGCATAGGATCCTCAGATGATTTTATGTTGAGATGATTTAGAGAAGCGACAACATCGCCATCTTTAATAACATCACACTTTTTTTATCAGCATAATTGTACAAATCTTTCTTTGTAAAACTAACATCATGATATCCACCCTTTTGAGAAACCATGTATCCCATTATATGACATGTTCTGATTCCATGTGATTGAAGATCATCAATTTGAGCTCTATCTGCCTCAGATATTTTACGATAATCGGGGTGTAGATGCACAAACTTTGTTGGGGTTATTTCATGGTTATGAGCCACTTCAAAAATTAACACTACATATTTTTTCCTTTTTTGTTATTGTAGTGCATACGGAGCCTAGCTTTGCAACTAGTACATGTCGTCCGTCGGTGTTATCTTTTCCTATCTACCATATATGCGCGCTTCTGGTCTCTTAATTCGTGTTTGTTGCATACATACTGCCTCATTACTACTATTTCACTACCTTCGGGCCCTCTCCGCCTAACATCGTTTTTCCTAATGGCAAAACCTTTACATTTTCCATACATATATTAAAATGCACAAGCTTCACTCACAGTTTCAAATTCCAAAGCACGAATTTCATCGAAAGTAATCAAAGTTACACTCACTACTCTATCACCTCCAACTGCATCAATATTTGTCAGTTCAACTGATTCCTCACCATCATCATTATCAGATTCATCTTCATCATTTGAACTTTGATGGCCACTGAAACCAACATAATTAACATCTTTATTACAACTACATTCAGCATCAGATGAATCACTGTTATGAACATTGCTCAAATCAACCCCAAAATAGTCAGCATAGTTGCCCATCTGAAATCGACTGATATATAACACAAAAAATAATCAACACCAATGATAAAACCTATTTCCCAAATTGAAATGCAATCTTAACCTACATATTGACTAACTAACATAATGACTATCCTTCATTTTGAAATCCAAGTGCAGACAATGACATCAATCATACAACCAAAATCCCAATTTGAGATAACTTTTTTCCAAATTAATTAACATCTACCATATGTAAAATCGAAAACATTAAATTTGAAATACAATTTCAGATTACAACATTAATCACAAAATCTATTTTACAAATTGAAATCATATAAGAGTTTAAAATCATTAAATATTAAATTTAATTACCTTAGTAAATCGGATATCAATATGAATTGTGTGAGGAGCGCGAATGAATGAGATAATGTTGAACAATGTTACAGGGAAGAAAACTCTTGATTGTGAAAGAAGAAGAAGAAGAAACGTGTATTTGTTAGTGGTTGTTTTACGATTGCTTTGGATGGAGATGAATATGGATAGTAAACAAGATGAAGTTGCAGAAGATGAAGTTGAAGAAGATGAAGTTGTGTTCGTTGGGGTTGGTTGGGGAAGAAGATGAACTGAAATAAATGAAGTTATTTGAATAGTTGAATTAATTTTGATTTTGTTAAAATATCAAATTTGAAGTTAAAAATTAATTATATTAAATGAATAATGAATGAGACTTAGTTACAAATATATTAAGATTTAATTGTAATATTAACAATTATGAAGTTACATAATAAGTTAGATGTATAACATAATCCTATATGACATACTAGAATTTCAAAATCCTTTGTGATTGACTAAAATTGTGATTTTTTCAAAAAAAGTCAAAATGACAACTTCAACATAGAATTTTCCTCTAATTAATTACCACATAAAATAATATCCTTCTTGGATGATCTAAAATTTAAAGCATTAGTACTATATATGCAGAGATTGATTTTTCTTGCATTGATTGATAAAAACATTGCAAGTAGAAGTTAAACTTCCAATTAGTTTTGCTTCACATGAAAACATAGCTTACTTGTATCAATAAAAATGCATAAGCATATAATAAACAATAAAAATGAATAAGCATAAAATAATAACTCTATTTTGTGGGGTGGTTGGTGATTGCAGAAGCTTAAAAGGATGCAGGAACGGTTAACAGAAAAGAAGAAGTGGTGGGATGAAGTTATCAAAGAAGACGTAGAAGATGAAAAAGAAGAGGAAGAAGAAGAAGAACACTCTCTTGTTGATGAAGATGACAAAACCCTATCTTATGTAATCTTCATTCTTCAATTTCAACGCACAGCTAAAACTTCAGTTACATATATTGTTGGAACAGAAAGAGAAGAATAGAGAGAGAACTCAGAGATTGGAAGAATGAGAGATTCTTTATTTTTCATACTACTTAGCTATTACAATTGGACTTGCTACTTAAAGCAATGTAACAAACTAACTGAAAAACTAACTAATTGGTTATCTAACAAACTTAACCAATCAGTCCTATATTTGAATTATTCTTTCAACACTCCCCTCTAATTCAAACTCCTTAGTGATACCACACTAAGCTCATTCCTCATCTTGTCAAAACGATCAACCCTCAATGCTTTGGTAAATGCATCTGCAACCTGCTCTTCTGTTGAACAATACTCCAGCTCTAACCTTCCCTTGTGTACTTGCTCCCTCAAGAAATGGAACCTCACCTCGATGTGCTTGCTCCTCCCATGGGACACAGGGTTCTTGGCTAAGCTTATTGCAGAAACATTATCAACAAGCAGCTTCAAGGGCTTCTCCCCTTCAATCTGCAAGGCTTTCAACAATTCATCTAACCAGAATGCTTGACAAGCTGCAGATGAACCAGCAATATACTCTGCCTCACAAGAGCTCAATGCTATCACAGATTATTTCCTTGAAGACCATGAAATAGGAGCTCCAAAGAACCTAAACACATACCCTGATGTGCTCTTTCTCTCATCCAGATCTCCTCCATAATCTGAATCTGAAAAACCTGTCAGCAATGCCTTTTGAGACTTAGCTTGATTTGGAAACAGTATTCCAAAATCAAGAGTTCCTTGCAGGTATCTCAGTATCCTCTTAGCAGCTCCCATATGAGTTTGCTTGGGATCACTCATAAATATACTCACAAGACCCACTGCATAAGAAATATCGGGCCTGCTTGAACACAGAAACCTCAATGACCCTACAATCTGCTTGAACAATGTAGGATCTACAGCTTCACCAACATCATTTCTTCTCATCTTGACATTTACCTCAGCAGGTGTATTTACTGGATTACAACCAGCCATATTGAACCTCTTAAGGATATCACTCACATACTTACTTTGATGCATAAGTAAACCATGTGATGTTCTAGTAAACTGCATTCCCAGAAAATAGGTTAACTCACCTAGATCCGTCATCTCAAACTCTAAGCTCATAACCATCTTGAATGCTTCAATGTCTTTCACATTTGATCCTGTCACTAGCAGATCATCAACATAGAGGCAAATGATCATGATGTGCTCATCTCCTTGTTTCTTCACATAGACTCCATGCTCCACTGAACACTTAATGAATTTTAGCTGCTCCAAGAAGCTATCAATTCTCTTATTCCAGGCTCTTGGAGCCTGCTTGAGTCCATAAAGTGCTTTGTTAAGTTTGTAGACTTTGTGCTCTTGGCCTTTGATCTCAAACCCTGGTGGCTGTGTTACATAAACTTCCTCATCCAATGGACCATTTAGGAAAGCTAATTTTACATCCAGCTGATGTAAACTCCACTGCCTTGCATTAGCCATAGCAACAACCACTCTAATTGTCTCCATCCTAGACACAGGAGCAAAAACTTATGTATAATCCAGTCCATGCCTCTGCAAGAACCCTTTAGCAACTAACCTTGCTTCGTGTTTAGCTATTGATCCATCAGGATTCAAATTTAGCTTATACACCCATTTAACTCCAATTGGAACTTTATTATGAGGTAGAGTTACTAACTCCCAAGTCTTGTTCCTCTCAATTGCCTTAAGCTCATCAACCATTGCCAATCTCCACTTTGATTGCTTCAAGGCTTCATTGAGATCAAGTGGCTCAGAATCTGCCATAAGTGCATAATGGATTAGTTCACCCTGCTCAGAAATGTCAGCATCACTTGCCATTTCAAATTCATTGAACCTGGCAGGTAGATTTCTTTGTCTTTGTCTTTGTCTTTGTATTGCAGGTAGTTGTTCCTTACTCTCTCCATCAGTGACTTGTTCTTCAAGCATCTCTGGTGCAATGTGAACCTTGTTGAGACTGGTTTGTTTCAACCTCCAGTCCCAGTGCTCATCTTCTACAACATGAACATCCCTGCTAAAACAAGATTGTCTTTTCACAGGATCAAACAATTTATATGCACCTGTTGGATGATACCCTATAAGAATCATTGGTTCACTTTTGCTTTCTAGCTTCCTCCTCTTCTGATCAGGTACATGCTTGAAGCATAAAGACCCAAAAATCCTCAAATGGCTAACAGAGGGCTTCTTTCCTGTCCACACATCAAGTGGTACTTGCTTCTTCCATCTCTTTGTAGGGCATCTGTTTAGAATATAACAGGCTGTGGAAACTGCTTCCCCCTAAAACTCTTGTGGCAACTGCTTCTCCCTCAGCATGCTTCTTGTCATGTTAAGTAGAGTTCTATTTCTCCTCTCAGCCAAGCCATTATGCTGAGGAGTATAGGGTGCAGTCTTCTCATGTTGAATACCACTTTGTGAACAAAATTCTTCAAATTCATGTGAAGTATACTCTCCACCACCATCAGTCCTTAACACCTTCAGAAGTTTACCACTTTGTCTCTCAGCTTCTGCCTTGAATCTCTTGAACACACCAAGTGCTTCATTCTTGGCTTTAATGAGAAATAGCCATAACATTCTGCTGAATTCATCCACAAAAGTGATGAAGTATCTATTTCCACCATGTGAATTAACTTCAAAGGGTCCACAAATGTCAGAGTGAACAACCCCAAGAAGATCATTAGCTCTCATGGCTAACTCAGCAGTGAAAGATTTCCTTGTCTTCTTCCCTGTAAAGCAGGTTTCACAAATCTTCTCTGGGATAGTTGTTGTTGGTAATCCCAAGACCATACCATCACTTCCCAGCTGGTGTAAAGTTCTGAAATTCAAGTGATAAAATCGAGCATGCCACAACCAATTTGACTCCCTGCCCTGTAATGATCCTGAGGCTTTCAAGCAATGAACTTTAGATGCTTTAATGTTAACCTTGAAGGTTCTATTTTCTGAAAGTGGAGCCTTCAAGATCAATCTTCCTTTAGCATCAAATAGATCAAAATAATTCTTTTCCATAATGACCTTGAACCCTTTCTGAATCAGCTGGCCAATACTCAACAAATTACAAGTCATTCTAGGCACATACAACACATCTTCTATTATTGCAGTTCTACCATCCTTTCTATGAATTGCAACACTTCCAATCCCTTCTATGTCAAGTGTTCTGTCATCAGCAAACTTAATTGTGCTTCTTCTAGTTTCATCTAAGTCAATTATCCATTCTCTATGACTAGTCATGTGATTAGAACAACCCGTATCTAAATACCACAAGTTTGATTTAGAATTTACAGAAACAGAAGAGCTGGTGGTTACCATGAGAAGCAGGGGTTCTTGATCTGAATCCTCATGAGCTGCATTGGCCTCATTGTCACCCCTTCTCTGTTCACTTCTACCATTTGGACATTCTCGTGCAAAATGACCAATCTTCCTGCAATTGTAGCATTCAGCTTTCTTCTTGTCCACCCTTTGATTCTTGCCAGAATTCCTCTCATGACCACCACGTTGCTGTGAAGAACCACTTTTGTGATCATCATCTCTCGAAGAGGACCAAGATTCCCCTTTGGCATTGCCTTTGCTTTTCCATTTGCCTTTGCGTTTCTCATCATACACCTTCTTCGATGTCTGAGCCTTCAACGCTTGATCTTGGTGATTCCTCTCAGTCACTCGATCTTGAAGACGTAATTCATGAGCCTCCAACAAACTTTGCAATTCCTCAAGCTTCATATCCTCCAAATCTTTGGATTCCTCGATCGCCACTACTATGTAATCAAATTTCACCGGTAAAGATCGCAAGATTTTCTCAATCATCATCAAATCTGTGATTGTTTCACCACACCCTTTCATCTGATTGATCAGTGTCAGAATCTTGGTGAAATACGCTCCAATCGTGTCGTTCTCCTCCATGTGCAAGCTCTCATATTGCTTGCGTAAAGATTGTAAGCGAACCTTCTTCACCTTCTCCCCTCCGGCGTGACATCGTTGAATGATATCCCAAGCTTCCTTTGCACTGGTTGCCTTGGAGATATTCTCAAAATGCGCATCGTCCACGCATTGATGAAGAAGAAACATCGCCTTGCAGTCCTTCTTCTTCGCCTCCTTGTTCGCTGCTTTCTGTGCATCACTAGCTCCGGTTGCCAACGCTGGAACCCCAGATTCCACCACTTCTTGGATGTCCTGAAACCCAAACAACACCTTCATTTGGATGCTCCATCGTTCCCAATTCTTCTCAGTAAGAACGGGCAATGTGGTGGGAAGGTTTCCATGGGCACTATTCATGGCTACGGATTTCAATTGCACAGACTCACAGCTTCGTCTCCTTCAATTTTTCCTCAGGCCCCTTTCGAAACTCTTGCTCTGGATACCAGTTTGTTGGAACAGAAAGAGAAGGATAGAGAGAGAACTCAGAGATTAGAAGAATGAGAGATTCTTTATTTTTCATACTACTTAGCTATTACAATTGGACTTGCTACTTAAAGCAATGTAACAAACTAACTGAAAAACTAACTAATTGATTATCTAACAAACTTAACCAATCTGTCCTATATTTGAATTATTCTTTCAACATATATGGCTATAGTTGTTGTTTCATGCTAAATAAATTTACTTTTGGTTTTGTAGGATGAAATGGGAAAAGATTATGAAGAAGCAATTAGTGTAGAGTGGATTGAGAAGAGTTTAAACCTTACATTTAGGTGTCCATGTGGAAAGGGATATGAGGTTCTAATATGTGGAAACAATTGCTACTACAAGTTGGTTTAGAAGAATTACTACAAGCTGGATCACTTTGTTTTGATTTGTAGTAGCATGTGGTTGTCACTAGAATCAATGTATCGTTGTTTATCACTTTCATTCGTTTTGTACCATATACCTCTTGTGTGCTATATCTCAACATTCTTTCAAGCAGATGAATGGAAGTGTTTTTGTATCATATATCAGTTTACTAATGTATCCAAAATAGTCTCATGAATGGATTGGTTCAATTACATAACAAAGATTTACCTCTAAAATGTGATATTTTATAATGAAAAATTGTATGTTTTTAATCTCTAAACTACGTGATTTTTCAACTCTAAACCTATATAATTTTTTTAAAAAAGTTTAGTCCTATTTTACTTTTTATCTTAAAATTCATTTTTAATGTTTCAATGTTCCATTATAATTAATTAAAATGTGTGATGATAAATTAAAAACATGTGGTAGGACTTACATTAGGCATATAGACTACAATTTAATACGGGGAGTTTAGAGTATTAACATCAAATATTTAACTATAACTGGGAAATTTTAAGTTTGGTAATGATTAAACAAACAAATTAAATATTTTTTAGTAATAAGCAGAATAAAAAATCATGTATTTATATAGTTATTGTGGAACACACAAGTTAGTCCAAAATTCATCAAATAACTCTAAATATTAATTCTCTTATTTATTATATCTTAAAATAAACTATGTTGTTCCAATATAGATTTTGTAACACATAACTCAATCAGTTCAAAAGTATCATAAGGGATTATAGGATAAATCTGGTGGTGGTGACATGGAATGTGATAGGTTGTCCTATTCAATCCATCACACCTAAAACATTGATCGTCTGACTTAAATCTATATCTATTAAATGGTAACTGTGTCAATACGTTCTAGACTACGTATTCCTGAAGGATGGTTATTGTCAATTTTCCAAAAAAGAAAATGTTCCTCATATTTTTGGGGATGAAAGGGTCTTTTATTACCATGCCATAGTCAAGCAGTTGGATTGGAATTGGTTCTTCACCCATAACTTCGCTCATGATTTGTGGCTATAAATATCTCAACATTTATGATTGGGAGGATTTTCTCACTATTCAGATATACAACATACCTAAAATCCCTCTTGCATTCATCACACGAGCAGAGTATATGTTATTGTAGTTTCTATAAGTACAATTGGCAGCTATCATAGGGCATCGATAAAACTGACTTAGGACACACCCTCACTTAATACTCAATCGCCTCAGTCATCTCTCTCACCATGATAACACAAGAAGGCACCAAAACAACTAGTAGTAGCGATAGCAACAACAACAAGGCCTTATAAGAGATTTGAGATGCTATGGAATAATTACGTCGCTTCAGCAAAGCCTTACAAGATCACGTCCCGACCCTTTAAGAACGTGTCATGATGGCAACCCATCTAAACACAATGAAGTCATGGATCCCCGACCTCTCTCTGATGAGACATGGAGCGTTCTCGTAATAGAAAATTTCAAACTTCCATCACTTGTGAAATTTGATGAGAAAATGATTCCTCATAAACACAATGACGCCATCAACACTCAAATGGAAAAAAAGTGGCGCTTATGACTCCTTGAAATGCAAGCTCTTGTCCAGTACTCTCTTAATTCCTTATTACAAGAAAATTTTAAGTTTTAAGATACATTAAATAATGGATGTATATAGTTTATATATTATTCTGGACTGACCCAATGATTAGAATTGGCTCAATCCACTTCCATCTTTGGTACGACCCAATGATGTTGGTGCAACATCCCCTTGAAATGCAAGCTCTTGTCCAGTACTCTCTTAATTCCTTATTACAAGAAAATTTTAAGTTTTAAGATACATTAAATAATGGATGTATATAGTTTATATATTATTCTGGACTGACCCAATGATTAGAATTGGCTCAATCCACTTCCATCTTTGGTACGACCCAATGATGTTGGTGCAACATCCTTGGCCGACCACGCCCTCGAATGGCGCGACCAACAATGCCTGAATTGCATGCTTGTGCGTACGGGAAACTATCTCTCAGTCTGCTAGACGCACGAAGCACGGACGCCCAGGAAACACTCATAAATGCTTATGCATGTCATCTCATCCTTTCTCAATGCAACGGCTAGTTACGGGCACGACTTCCCATTTTGACCAAGTCCTGGCAGTTACATATTTTTGCGGATCCACATATCTAGCCCCAAAAATAGGAACCAATGGCTACGCGTTGAGGGTACTATATAAACCCCCACACTTGTGAGGGCCATGTATCCAATATTCACTCATAAAACCCTAATCTCTTTCTTGTATCTCTTTGCACTCTTTCTCACTAGATCGTCGGAGTATCTTGCAGGTACACCCATCCTCTCCACAAATTTCCAGCCAAGAAGACGTCTTCAACTCGGCCCACTTTCAGGTTCTGATCAACCGATAAGATCAGTGGCACCATCTATGGGAACCTATTTTCCGCGTCTTCCTCTCCTCAAAACTGAAGACCAAAGATACCTTCATTACTTCAATCATGGCTGACCATGATGACCATCACCTCTCTGGAAAGACTGTGCTCACCCCCGTTCGCAAGGCAGATAGGAACGATGAACCTCCTCACCTCGAGGAGGTCCCCGATCTCAGGGGCCAAACCGTATCTCCTGACTTAGTCAACATAGACCGCGAAGACCCCCATTTTCTAGAGAAGCTCCTAGAGAATCATAACTCGAAAAAGCCTACTGAGGAATTTCCCGTTATCATCCCGTCAGTTTAGATTCCAACTAATGCTGATTTGGCTATGGTAGCGGTGCTCGCTGCCCTAAACCAAACCAATACTCTCATCCTACAACAAAGCAATAAGATGGGAGCATGAGAGAAGATGTGAAAGTCTCCCCTTCAGAGACACTGACGACGTGACTCCCTGAGCCTATCCCCACCAAGGCGTGATCGACCAACCAGAAGGGAGAAGTAGGACGTTTCTTTCCCCAAGAAGCGCAATTGCATGCCTCCACAAAAATATTAAGGTTCTCCGTCTCCCAAGAAGAAAAAGAACGACCGTCGACTTACCCGCGGTCGTTCACTGTTGCCCAAGCCAAAGAAACAATGGAGAAGCACATCTCTCCGTCGGGACAACAGCAGCCGACGAGGAAGAAATCATCATTCCCCGCCATCATCTCCCGGGGGAAGCAACGATGATGAGCCCCATGGCCCATTATCAAGATAGATCATGGAAACTACGCTCCCCATCAGCCTAGAGAAACCTCCCCCTTTAGGGACATATGACGGCACGACCGACCCTGATGAGCACATCCAGAACATTGATGCGCTGCTCGACTACAGAGATATTTAAGGGGCAATTAAATGTCAGCTCTTTCCTAGTACGCTTAGGAAAGGAGCCATAACCCGATATAAAAGCCTTCTAGAAGAATCAATTACACCGTGGAAGAAATTGGGAAGACAATTTTCTAGGAACTTCACAGCATCTCACTGTCATCCCAAGTCTGAAGCATATATGGAGGCGATCATTCAAGGGAGGTACGAATCCCTTTGGGCATACGTCGAGCACTTCAACAAAGAAGTCGTGTAGGTCTTTACGATCGACGACATGAAAAAATTTCTCCTCGAGCGCAGGCTCCATCCCCGCAGTGACTTCACCAAGGTGGTTGACATAGAATCCCTGGCTACCCTGGATGCCCTCCTGCTCAAAGCACAAGCATACATCCAGTACGAAGAAAAGGAGGCAGCTAACAATGCCAGGGACTCGCGGCATAAGGAGAATGCAAAAGTCCCAAAGAATTATGATCCCTCGACATCCTTTCGAGGAGGATAAAAATGAAGGGAAGACAAGTCGCAGAATTCTAGAGACTACAAGGGACCAGCTGGTCGATTTCACGACTACACATGTGGTACGGTGGGAGAACTGACTTGAAGGTTTTGCGTTTGATCGAAAATGTTGCGGTTTGTAAGAGTCGCCACCGACTTTTCTTTTATCCAAAGGGAAGGGTGAAAAAGCACAGGAAAGACCTTTGAGATTATTTCTTGGGTTCGGGAGGTAGATTATGAAAAGGGAAGATATTAGCATCCTTTTCATCCATGGTTTTCCATGGGCTCTTAGTTACTTGCTAGATCACTTGCTTTTGTTTGAAATTATGCTTAGTGTGATTTTTGAAAGTATTTTGTAAAGAGGCCTTTGTTTAGGCAATCTTTGTAACGATTCTCGTTCGTAAGAATGTATACAAAGATGTTGATCTTTTGAAAATGTTTCCAAGTTTGTAAGATGTTTTGAAATGTGTAGGTGTTTGTTTTGAAAATAGCAAGGATGTTTTATTTGAAATTGAGCAAGTAATTAGGAGCATTCTACCTACTCAAAAGTCTTTCTTGTACATTTCCTTTCCTTTGACATTGTTATCTTACCATTGATTTGGTAAGTAACCCTATCTTTGGATGTAAATGGGACGGGCGTGGGTAATCGTATAACCATAATTAGCAATGTTGCAAGGCATCTTAGCATTCTCTTTTAGGGAATAATATCATTTGTAAGGCAACTTAGATAACGTCATCGAGGGACTATGATCTTGTATTCTTTTGTTTTTGCTAAGATACCTCACATGCGTAATATGGCCATTTTGTAAGGCAACCAAGTGGATTTTATCCTAGGGGTGCTTGTATGCAAGTGTATTGTTTTCATGCTTGTTTTTGTCTTGAATTAGGGTTTTCTATTTGATTGATTTTTATTCTTTCCATACAAATCTCAATTACTAGCATGTGAATATAAAGCATTTAAATTGCAGAAAATAAAAATACTAAGCTATTACATGATTTGTGGGAAGGGGGTGTACAAAGTATAAATGGGGATTGTAAGAAATTAAACCCTAATTAAGTTATTACAACCATATTGAATTGAATAAATAAATGTACAAGATATGAAAAGGAATAATGTATAAAGTAATGAATAAAAAAAAGGAATGAATTTTATTTGGTTTTGTCCTTGTTAAAGAAATTTATTATTTTTTAACCTAAT